GGAGGCGAAGCGGCAAGCATGAAAGGTGGAGACTACGACAAGGACTCGAGTGAAGATCGATACCCGGGCCAATTCTTCTTTGTCTCCACGCAAGCGGCAGCTGTAGCAGGAGGTGTGGATGGCTTTGAGGAGCCAGCTACTGTGGGAAAGGTCACCCTTCACTCTCTGGACTTTTGGGTGATCGATAGCGGCGCCACCTACAGCATGACACCTCCTGCGGACTTGCTCACCGAACTCGAACCGTCGCCGGTCAAGCATGTTACATCGGCTTTGGGGCAGCGAGCAGAGGTGAAAGCCATGGGCAAGGCCATGTTCAAGGGTGCTGATGGGAAGATGGTGGGCCTCAAGAACGTGCTTTTGGTGCCCAACCTAGCAACCAACCTGATTTCCGTTCGGCGTTTGCAAAAGGCCGGCATGGACACATCTTCCAAGGGTTCGAAAACATATACCACGAGGCTTGGTGAGCGAAAGCTTTGGGACCTTCATGAGGACAGGGACATCTACAATGAGATGTGGCAAATCCCAGTGGTCCCCATGCCTAAGGAGAGGCAAGTGGCAGCAAGCGTCAGCACCAAGAGTGAAGCGGTTGGTGGCGGTGATCACGGAAAGCAAAGTGACACTAAGAGTGACTTGAAGGAGTGCAACCTTGGAGACACCAGCAAGGCGTGTGAACCCAAGGAGAGTGGTGCAGCAGCCAAAGGTGGTGGAAATGAGGAGGAGAAAGGAGAGAGCTTGTGGGGCACAATTGCGAGTGCCGCTTTCTCCAACCCGACTTCCGCTACGGGAGAGTGTGATTGGCTGACCTTGCATCGGCGAATGGGGCATGTGGCATTGCCCATTTTGCAGCAGATTGTTAAGCAAGAGATGGTGAGTGGGATATGTGTCAAGGGGGAGCCCAATGAGGTGCTTGGCTGTCCAACATGCATGCAAGCCAAGTTCACCCGCTACCCATTCCATAGCTCGGAGACAACGGCGAAGGCACCACTTGATGAGGTGGTGATGGATGTGGTGGGCCCCTTGAAGCTTGGAGCTGCTGGAGCTGAGTACTTCCTCACCATTGTGGACGTCTACACTCGCATGACCTGGGTGTATGTGCTCCCCAAGAAGAGTGACGTAGCTGAAACGGTGAAGACCGATTAGTTGCCGATGGTGGAGCGGCAACAAGACCGACTTGTGAAGGCGATTCGCACTGACCGTGGGGGAGAGTTCCTGAGCAAGGATTTCTCAACTTGGCTGAAGAAGCAGGGCATAAGGCACTCTCTTACCATGCCCTACTCTCCTGCAATGAACGGCATCGCCGAGCGTGCGAATCGGACACTCACGAAGACGGCTCGGGGACTTCTCATTGAAGTCGGTCTTCCCAATTCTTTTGGCCGGATGCGGTGCGGCATGCTTGTGTGGCCAAGAACAGAGCCTTGACTCACGTGGGAGAAGACAAATGGGTGCCCTATGTGGAGTGGATTGGAAGGAAGCCGAAGGTGGATATGCTTCGGGTGTTCGGGTGCATGTGCATGGCACTTGTGCCTAAGAAACTTCGGCACAACAAGCTTGATGCCAAGGCAACATGGGCCGTGCACCTGGGCATGGCTCAAAACAGCAAGGGATGGCTTCTATGGGACCCATTTACCAAGAATTTCTTGGTGAGCAGAGATTGCAAGTTCATGGAGAACTTACCGTACAAGGAGTGGAAGGCGGAGAACCAAGCGAAGATTGGTGTGCGGCTTGGAAAGGTGAAGAGTAACGGCTTGGAGCATGTGGAGCTGCCCTTGGAGCTGAGTAGCAGCAGTACAGTCACGAGGCAATCTCCCCAAATGAATGGGGATGAGGAGGAGGAGGAGGTGCAGCAAGGTGATGAGCGTGCACCGTCACTTCCGCCTCGTGCTACAAGTGCTCGCGAGAACCGACCAGATTTACCGCAACGCCATGAGAGCATTCAAGTCCCTGCAGCCGAGGAGGAAGGAAGGGGGAGAAGGAGGACTCAGCCCCCCAATAGGTTGAGCTATGACCGGCTTGGAGGACCAGCCAACTCAACCTTGATCGGTTCGGCTCTCATGCTAGGCGATGATGCGGAAGATGAAAGCGAGGAGTGCGCCTTTGCCTTCTTCTCTCCGGTAGAGATGCCGGGGGAGCCTACAAATCCCAAGGAGGCTTGGGTGGGCCCCAATGGGAAGGAGTGGAAGAAGGCCTCAGATGAAGAAATGGGGAGCATCATAGAGAACGACACATTTGACTTGGTGAATCTACCTTCGGGGCGGAAGGCAATCTCTTCCAAGTGGCTCTTCAAGCGCAAGACCGACGCCGACGGCAACATCGAGCGCTACAAGAGCAGACTTGTAGCCAAGGGGTATCAGCAGCAAGAGAAGAAGGACTACAACGAAGTGTATGCCCCTGTGGTGAAGGGTACAACCCTTCGAACCCTCTTCGCCGCGGCGGCCATCAAAGGATGGGTGGTGAAGCAAATGGATATAGTAACGGCCTTCCTCAACGGCGTTTTGGAGGAAGAGACCTACATGGAGCAGCCAGAGGGGTACAATGATGGGAGTGGCAGAGTGTGGAAGCTGAAGAAAGCACTCTATGGCCTCAAGCAAGCCCCTAGGCAATGGTACATCAAGCTGCGGGAAGTCTTGGAGGCGATCGGCTTCACTCCCTCAACGGCCGATCAATCCTTGTTCATGCTTGGCGAGGGGGAGCAGAGGAGCTTCATGGTGGTTTATGTGGATGACATCCTCATATTCTCACCCTCCTCTGATCTTGTGAAGGAGGTGATGCTGAAGCTTCAAGACAAGTTCAAGTGCAAGACCCTTGGTGACGTCAACTACTACCTTGGGCTTCACATTGAGCGAGATGTGGAGAAGCGGTGGATGCGAGTGCATCAAAAGAAGTACTTGGAGGCCTAGTCTGCAAACTTTGGGAAGAGTGAAGGTCATGTGGCTACTCCTCTTCCCTCAGGGTTCAAGTGTGTGAAAGGACCAGCGGAGGAAAGTGTTGGTGAAGAGGAGAGGCGGCGTTTTCACTCCTTGGTGGGCAGCCTCATGTATGCGGCCGTTAACACAAGGCCGGATGCAGCCTTTGCTACCGGGCAGCTGGCTAGGGTTGTCCAATGCCCTAATGAAGAGCAGGTAGCAGATGGAGAGAGGGTGGCCAAGTACCTTGGCCAAACAGCAACTGTTGGACTGCAATACTCCGCGGCGGCACAAAGGCGTCAAAAGGGGGCGGATGGAGTCGAACCCGGGAGGCTCTTTCTCACCGCCTTCTCTGATGCATCTTGGGCATCAGAAGCAGAGGATATGATAAGTGTGGGAGGCTTCATCTGCTGTGTTGGTGGAGGGCCAACAGCTTGGGAGAGCAAGAAGCAAGTGGACCAAGCATTGAGCTCGGTGGAGTCCGAGTACATGGCACTCTTCCGTGCCATAAGAGAGGTTGTGTGGCAGCGGCGTTTGCTAGCTGAATTGGGGGAGGAGCAGCAAGGACCTACCCCACTCTACTGTGATAGCCAGGGTGCTATTGCATTGGCTAAGAACCCCGTTCTTCATGGCCTTACCAAGCACATGAAGGTGAAGTGGCATTGGGTGAGGAGCATGGTAACCGCGGGTGAAGTGGAGTTGCACTACGTGAAGACGACGGCGCAGCCTGCTGATATGATGACCAAGAGGCTGGTTGAGCAGCAGCATTGGAAGTGTTGCAAGCTTGCTGGGATGGCTCTGAACTAAGGGGAGCAGATTCTAAGGCCAACAATCCGAGGGGGAGTTTGTTGGTGCAACCCTATGGCTTGCACTCGGCTTGTCGTCCTTGTTTGTGTGTGTGCATGCATGGCATGGAATGAATTGTGAGTCTATGTCATTGCTATCCCGTCCTTGTGTGTGTGCTTGAATGGTGTGTCACTATGTGGTTTGTGTCGGTCAAGACATTAGCGAGTTTTTACAACTCGCATGTCAAGTCGTCGTTTGTGTGTCGCATGTGTTTTTTCTATTTTGTCGAGTGTGAAGTGTCCATCATATCGCAGGTGTGTGCAGCAAGCCCCCATCAACTCAAGAAGAATTTATCTTGCAGATCCAGGAACAAGAGCTCAAGATTTCAAGCCCAAGGGACGCGGATAAATATTAAATAGTGAAAATAGTAACGTTACTTCGTGTAGTGTTACATTTCACTTGGTGTAGCCCCTTGGAGGGTTGGTTTCGAGACTCTTCATGGTTGGGGACTCTGTGGTGGTGTACCACCAACCTGGACCTCGGCTCTTGGGGTATGTAGAGGCTGGGAACCATCTCCCTCTCGAACTCTTCTTGCTAAGTTTGTACTCCTAAGACTATAATGGGTGCTATACCTTGTGCCAGTCAAACCGCCATAGCGTCGTCAAATCTTCATGAAATTTCATGATTCAACTTGCTGCTGATAGAGGACATCAACGCGCTCCATATCCAATTTACAGATCACCGTTTGATTCAGTGACCAGATCGTTATCAGTATTTGAAGCCGTCTGACGGAAATCCGACTATGCTCTCTATATCTCATTATAGGCACATCTAAGCCTATTGTGATTATAACAGTTGTGACTGCGGCTGTTGCACAAAAGGTGAGAAAGCAAACGAACCAGTACTTGGAGCTGAGGCTCCACGCATATAATTCGAGCTGTCAAGGCTCATTCCACTGAACGCCGACGATATAGACTGTGTTGAAAACTGTGGTTGTGCTGATGCTTGTTGCTGTGCTGTTGTCTATGTTTGTTGTTGTTGCGCTGCACGTGCAGTCGATGAAATCCCTGGAGTGCTGACAGAAGGCGGATTTTGCTGCTGCTGCATACCGATGTTCGCATAAGCCGGTGGAAACGGTCCAGAGGCTGAAAGACCAGTGGCGGTCGTGGAGACAGGTACTCCAGTAGTTCCAGAACTAGATCCAGTAGATGCTGCTGGTGATGTTCCATTCATTGTAGGCAGTAGTCTTAATTCCAGATAGCTCTCATACCATGAAATATTTTGACAGGTGTTGCAGGAGACTAAGTATAGAATCTGCAAACACGAACACTTGGAAAACCTCAAGTGTTAGCCTAGGATCTTTACTGGAATGGTAGACTAGTAAGACAGCGGAAGTCTTGTAAAAGTGAACCTGAGTATATGTTTCTGGAGATGTTAAGTCTTAAAGTTCTCAAAGTTGAAATCTCAAGGTTAATAATAAAAAGGACATAACAAAGATTTATAGCTCTAGAAAAGTACCTATTCGCTAATGTACCTGTTCGTCACTATCGCGCTATGCGCCCTAGACGATAATGAAGAGGTGCGACTATTCGCGTGACTGAAACGACTGTCCTATGACGAGCGCTATTTGCTGACGTCATCCTACGGAGTTATCTACTACAGTAGGATTCGACACTATCTATCGATAAACGACTTACCGAAATATTAAGTATGAAATATACCACAACACAAGCTACGTGGTTCCGGCTCTTGGATCGTTGCCTGGGCCCCCACTCTATCGATCTCTTCGCAAATGTGCATAACGCTCAACGGCTTCGCGTTCCCTGCTCCCAATCTCATTCCAGCCACACTACGACACGCTAAACGCAAACGCGCCGAGCTGACCTTGGTTATTCCCGAGTGGCCGGGAGCATCATGATGGCCACTCCTCAAACAGGCACCTGACGCCTGGGTGTCAGAAGTAACGACACACATTCCCCTCATCCATGGCAGCCAATGCCTTCGCCCTAGCACACACGCACTCGCTTTCGCAGGACAAGGCTTTCCTCCTAGTCACACGATAGCATTGCATGTCATGTATAAAAATTCATACTACCTGTACTCTACGCTGTACCTTTTTAGACATTATTTCGAAACTGGAAACGCAACTACTACACGTAATCGCCCATGTTCGTGCCCCTTCCACAATCCAAATATATGAGCCCTACTAGCTCAAATTTCGCTCAATCTGCATGAAAGTGAAGTTGAGCTATCTGCCTGCAACGGATATCAGATTGGCCCTCTACTTCATTCACGCACTAAATCACCAAGCCACAACATTCGCGATATCGCTTACATGCTCCGACATCGCCTTTGCACATTGCATGACTGGCGGGCCCTCTCCCTCGACTGGACCATTTACACTACAAGTGTGTTAATTCGTCAAACGCCATGTCCCGCGCCCCACCTGGAACAAGGAACATTTGTCACTCCACCAAGTGCACACCATGGCCCGCCCCTTCTTGGAGTCCACCCGGCCAGGCAAGTACCATAAAGGACTCATCCCTTTGCTTATCTTCGCCGCCTACCTACGCTACTCCGACCTTGTTAGCCTCCAATGGTATGACATACAGTTTGAGCCTGAGGCGATGTGGCAGCTCATCCGGCACTCCAAGACCGACTAGGAACATGGATTCCGGTCGCCGCCACGTTCGGCCCGTACTGCCTGGTACACGGTACACGACACTTTCTTCTCCTCGCGGGTCACACCTCTATCCCATACGGGCCATTGATCTGAGTCTTCGGGAGCAGCAGCAAGGCAATTCCACAAGACCATGCGCCTTCAGGCACTACCATCCGGAACTGGTTCCTTGAAACATTCACCAGGGCCAACCTCGATAGCGCCCACATCGGCACCCACTCCTTCCGCAAAGGAGCCGCTACAGCGACAACCAGTTTCGGGATATTCAACCGTTGTTCAAGCGACTTGGCCGTTGGCGCAACGATAACACCAAGAAGCTCTACGTTACTATCATGCAGGACCAACTTCTTCAAGCCTCCACGCAACTCCAGGACGCAGCCACTGCCCCTACGCCCAATCAGCACCAGCTATCTATCGAACGCCACTACCAACGCCTTCTGCACATGTCTCAGAAGACCCTGATGAAATGAAGCACGCTACATTTACAAGAGGACCTAAGCAAGCTTTCAAAATATGTGTTTTAGAAAGTGTAACACTTTCTAAAATTGTGTATTGTGAAAGTGTAGCGAGGGCCATAGCAGCAAAGGCGGCGTCGAAGCGTTACTCACCCTCTTTTTCCAGGTGAGACTGAAGATGGGTTCGAATTGAGGACTACTGCAGCATAAGATAACCGAAGGGTTTGCCAGCATTCACTCTTCGACCGGCTTTCATGACACAATGTACTATTTCAGTTGATGATTTTAATTACCTTTATTAAGATAATTGTACACACTCGTTAGCGTGTAATCTCGCGTGTTTCACATACGCGCTGGTCCCCGAATTTACCCACAAGAACGCTACAGTTCGAGAAGTCAACAGTACAGTGCAGCTGCCTGCTAAATCTCGACGAATGGTGGAGCAGCTACAAGAAAGCACCTTTCTGATGTTAAAACAGCCAATGAGGGATGGACAGATCGCATCCCCGCAATCAACGTGGGCGTTCTAGAATCAAATCGATGAATTTCACATCGTGAAACTTTGGGCGGCAGTCTGTTTTTTCGCCATTCTGACCGTTTCTGGGTCCCATGGTCCCTTGGTTCTGCAGGCTTGACTCCTGTCTCTGCTTCGGTTCTGTGTCTCTGTGTGGGTTGTTTCTCGACTTGGAAGGCTGCGAGACCCCCCGGATTTAGTCTTGTGATGACAGAGAAATCTCAGGTCTAGAAGTCCAAGCTCCTGAATGAAAAGCTGTCGCGGAAACCCACACCGAGTCAAGGAAAACGAGGGTGACTAGCCTTGAAAAAACTTGGGTCTGGTGAAAGATACCAGGCTTGAAAACTGCCTGGTGTACAGCAGCCCCAGCCGCAGCCGCGGTCCCTTGTCTTGCAACACGCGATCGAAAGTCCCCCAGAGAAGTAAGCGCCCAAACCAACCCATTCCAAACCATTTACCCATCCGACCTTTCCTTAGCATGTCAGCCCCCTTTCTGAACACGCCCCCTCCCCCAGCTCGACTCCGCTCCACACGCCCCCAGGGAACCCTTGTCCCCTACTGTATCATTCATACCGTTTGTCTTGTCTCCTCTCCTCCCATCTCCCCCTCTCCAGGCAGGGGACAATAGCTACTCAATGTTGCTCAGGGAGTGTCTAGCGCGTACTTATACTATTTAGTTGGCGTGACAGGTACAGAATTTAGGTCTGGTAACCCAGAAATCCGTGTTCTTAGCGGACGCTCTCGATGGGGGCCAGAAGTCGTGCTGCGCACGTTTCGAAAGCGGCAGAATATCGTGCCCGAAATGAACTCCCTCCAGAAACGACAAATCCTGGCTGGCGAAGAGTAAATACACGAGTTCGTCATTTTCGGGGAAGTGTCGTCAATGCCGTGGCAAAAACAGCGAGGCCTCGTTTTCCAGGCTCGTAATACCGTAACTACATTTCGTTCGCCAAGATCTTTTGTTTTTCGCTGCGCAGAGCATTTGTCGTGTCAAAGGCTGGACACAAGGCCGAGGCAAGCATGCTTTCTGTGATCGAAAGGTGAGCCTCGCGACATCTACATTCCCCGTAACATTTTTCGAGCATGTACAGAAGATGTAGAAAGCGCGTGTTAGGGCAACAATGAATGTGCTGGACACGCCCTCGGTACAGTTCGGCGCATCCTTGGCGCATCACGCTCGTAACACACACACCCATTCCTACTTCCTCCTGGAGACAGTGCATCTGCTCTAGCCGTTGCAGCCATCGCAGCCGCTGTTTCCTGCTTTGCAAGCGGCGAGCCAGCAAGCGCGCATGGCGCTAGCGGACGACCCCCCCGACGTGTGGGTGGTGGACGTGGGTCGCGACCGCGAGGCCACCAAGGACGCGCTCGTCACGGCGATTAACGACGCCACGGCCGTCATCTACCGCGTGCTGCTGCGCCTCGTCACCACTGGCGCGTCGCGTATGTAGCAAGCCGCATGCGCTATGGACGTTTGGGTGGTGTCTGGACGGTATAGTCTGCGTGCGTCGACGACGAAAGTTCCCCTTATAGCCCCTCCCGTTGATGACTTGATGGTTTGACGGGTTGTCACGAGAGCCTTTCTATCTCCTGCTTCCCGTCTCGACTCCGCGCATTGACTCCGTCACGGTGCCTTTTCAATGCCGCCGGATAGAGCGTCGTTTGCGCCGTCAAGCTCCCTCGCGTCGTCCGCACCTGCTAGTCTGTTGCGTGCCGCTCGCACCTACCGCACATGGGAGCATCTCCTGGGAGGCGCGGCTTCCACTACTAGGTGCCGCGGATCACGGGCTAGAGAGAGCAGACGGGCGAGATGCGTCTATTTTTGAGGCGGCTAAAAAAAATAGACTCCTCAAACATGGGAGCAGCTCGTGGGAGGCGCTGCTCCCACTCATAGTTGCCGCGGATCACGGGCTAGAGAGTGCACACGGGCGAGATGCGCGAGATCCGCGATGACGTCACGAGTCTGGTGCAACGAGTAATGAGGACCGTGCAATGAGGAACGAGTAGCGAGTGCCCGAGTCACGAAAAACGAGCAACGAGTAACGAGTAACGAGTGGCGAGTAACGAGTCGCGATGCAGAATGCACGGCCCGAGAGACTTCGCGAGAGACAGAGAGAGGGGCCCTTCCTCGCCGTAGAGACGCACGATGACCATTTCGAGACAGGGCGAGAGAGAGAGAGAGAGCGAGAGAGAGAGTAGGGGCTCGCGGCGGGTGAAGGAGAGAACGAGGAGCCCAAACGGGCCAAGCGGGGGGGGGAATGCGTAGCGCGCCACGTGCTATCGAGGGCAGAGGGAACCAAGTAAAGCATCATTTGCAAATCAAAAATAGTTCAGTCATTAGTGGTGGTGAACTAGCGCGAGTGGTGCCACACCCGTTGATAGTGCGCGTTGCGCCAACACGCTGCCATTACCCTTCGGTCTGTCTCCTGTCAGCAACCCGTCCCTCCCCTTGTTCTTCGGCGCCTTAAAGCCCAATCATATTTCTGAGCTGCCTCAAAATGCTCCCTTTCTGTACACTCTTAACTCCGTCCCCATCGCCCCATTTCCCCCTCCCGCACACCGCTTCCCCGCCGTCCCCCTCCCCCCCGCCGTCCGTTCCCCCTCTTGGCATGTTACCTTCGGAGCAGCAGCGGTTGGCGCAGCGAGTGCAGCGGGAGGCGGAGTGGGGGGAGGAGGCGCGGGTGGGGGGGAGGGTGAGAGGGGAGCAGGGGGGGAGGACGAGCGGGACTCGCCGCATGCAATGCTGGTGCCGTACAAGGAATTCGCGGAGAAGATGGATGTACGTGGTTTCGTCCCTCCTCACATTGCTCCAACCCCTTGCTCTCACGCTCACATCTTGCACATCCCCTTGCTCCTCCTTTCACCCTCCGCATTCCCGCCTTCCCTTTCCTTCCCCCGTCACTCCCCTGCCACCGCCTCCCTGCACCCCCTCCCTCCTTCCCTTTTCCCACTCTCCCCTCATCGCCTCCCCGGACAAGCGGATGGCACTTCAACTCACACCCTGACTTCCTCACATCCTCCCCACCTCCCCCTTCTTCCCCCACGCCACCCCAGGTGGCGGCGGGCGGACCTGGTCTTTGCCCCCACAGACAAGCCGAGGGCTATTCAGCATAACCCCACATCCCCCTCCTTCTCCCCCTACCCCCCGTTCCCCCACGTCCCTTCCCTTCCACTCCACCCCCCCTCTCCACCCCCCCTCTCCACCCCCCCTCTCCACCCCCCCTCTCCACCCCCCTCTCCACCCCCCCTCTCCACCCCCCCTCTCCACCCCCCTCTCCACCCCCCCCTCTCCACCCCCCCCTCTTCCAGGTGGCGGCGGACATGTTCGTTGCCCCCACGGACAAGCGAGAGAAGGCGCTGTGCCATGCCGTGCTGGCAGGGGAAGCTTCCCGCCTCTACCTCGGACAGCGCAAGTTAGTGATGATGGGTGGGGGGGGGGGGGGGGGGAGGGGTAGGCGGAGGGGGAGGGAAGGGGGAGGGGGATGCTTTTGGTGTCGACTCAAAAGCCATGCTGGCAGGGGAGGCTACCTTGGCCAGCGCAATTCAGTGGTGAGAGGGGGGGGGGTGAGGGAGGGGGGAGGGAGGGGGAGGGGGGATGGGGAGAAGAGAGGGGGCTTTGAGGGGCACGGGGCACAGGGTGGAGGGAAATGGTGGGGAGGGGCACAGGCAGAAGGTTCAAGGGCTAGTGAATGCATGCAAGGCGTGTTGCTGTGCGAGACGTGAGATGGCTTAGCTTGTTCGCTGGTTCCCATTCGCATGTGTTTTGGCCTGTCCTGTCCTGCCCTGTCCTGTCCTGTCCTGTCCTGCCCTGTCCTGTCCTGTCCTGTCCTGCCCTGTCCTGTCCTGTCCTGTCCTGTCCTGTCCTGTCCTGTCCTGTCCTGCCCTGCCCTGTCCTGTCCTGTCCTGTCCTGTCCTGTCCTGTCCTGTCCTGTCCTGTCCTGTCCTGTCCTGTCCTTTCCTTTCCTGTCCTGTCCTGTCCTGTCCTGTCCTGTCCTGTCCTGTCCTGTCCTGTCCTGTCCTGTCCTGTCCTGTCCTGTCTGCGCGCTTGCTTACACACGTTCCTCCTACCCCCTCCACCCTCTCCCTCCGCTCCTCCCCTCACACCCATCCAGGAAGCTGTTCAGCAAGAGCTCCAACCTGCCAGCATACTGCGCCAAGCACCTGCCGTACACGTGTGACATCATAGTGGTGCAGGCCGGCCGCAAGGTCAAGCACCTGCAGGGACTTCTCTCGCCTGACTCCCTTGCCCCGCCTCTCCCCAGGGGCACGTCTGCTGTTGCTGCTACCGCTGCTGCTCCAATTCCTGCTTCCACCTCTGCCTCTGCTTCTGCTGCTGCGTCGACGTCGGCGTCGGGGTCCCCTGCTGCTGTTGCCATGGCGGGCGGTGTCAGTGCGTTGCTCAGTCGCTCCGCGTCAGCCCGCTCCCCCTCCTGCAGCCCTCCGTTGTCCCCCTCGTCCTCTGCTGGCCCCTCCCCCGCGCAACCTCGCATCCAGCGAGGGAAGAGTCTGGGGCCTGGTACGCTGGGGGCAGGAGCGAGGCTGGTGGAAGGAGATGAGGGGGGGTCGGGGCAGGGTGCGGATAGGAGGGGGGGACGGGATGGGCGCGAGGGGCGGGATGCTGGTGCTAGTGCTGCTGCTGCTGCGTCCCCTTCTGCTGGCCGTGCCTCGGAGACATCCCACACCGCAGCGACAGCGGGAGCAGCAGCAGGCGTGGGGGCGGGTGCATCTATTGAGGCAGCCACGGCAGCGGCGGCAGGGGCAGCAGGGGCGGCAGGCATGAGGGTGGTGCAGCCACAGGCAGTGAACCTGAGGCACCTGGTGCTGGCGCGCAAGGACCTGGCAGCCATGGGCTTCACACACGGGGGCGCGAATACAGGGGGAGATGGAGGGGAAGGAGGCGGAGCGGGAGGAGCGGGAGCAGGAGCGAAAGGAGGAGGGGGAGGCTCCAGCATTGGTTGTGAGAGCCCCATGACCGGAGGGCAGCACCAGCAGCAGCAGCAGAAGCAGCAGCAGGGCTTCTCGTCTGCCAACAGCTCTGCAGCGAATTCCCCGCGCCTGACCCGCGCTCTCTCTGCAGGTTACTCCTCCGCTGCCTCCTCCTGCCTCACCCCTGGTACAGCATCTCCCGGCATGGGCATGGGCGTCTTTGGCTTCGCATCCCCGTCTCCGTCCGGCAGTCTTGGGAACAGTCCCTCCGTGCCCTCTCCTCTCGCCAAGGCTGTTGCTGCAGGTGGCTTCGGCGGTATGCCTGGTTTTCACTGGGGCTTGCATGCGGCACTGCAGCAGCAGCAGCAGCAGCAGCAGCAGCAGCAGTTGCATAGGCTGAGCAACGTGGGTGCTGCTGCTACTGCGGTGGGGACGGCAGCAGCCGGAGCAGAAGCAGGTGTGATGGAAGGAGTGGAGGAGGAGTGGAGCAGTGGCAGGAGCAGCGACAGGCACAGCGGCGGGAGCAGCGTTGGGGCAGGGATGGGTAGGGAGGAGTCGAGAGCGGTGGCAGGTGGTGAAACTGGTGGTGTGCTTGGGGGGGAAGGAGCACTGCTTGAAACACATCGAGTGGGTGAGGGGGGGCAAGGCGAGAAGGGGGTGAGTGGCAGTGCGGGTGAGAGGTTAGCCCAGCAGTCGTACCAGCAGAAGCTGATTCTGCTGCAGCACCTGCTGGAGCAGCAGGAGCGGCAGAACCAACAGCTTCGTGAGCAGTGGCTGCAGCAGCACCACCGTCACCAGCAGCAGCAGCAGCAGCAGCATCAGCATCAGCAGAAACAGCAACAGCCACAGCAGCAGCAGCAGAAACAGTCGCACGATCCGCCGCCTCTGCAGCAGCAGCAGCCTCCGCCGACGCAGCAGCAGCATCAACAGCAGCCGCAGCAGCAGCAACACCAATATCAGTCTGCTGTGACTGGCTCTGTGCCTGAACTACCATTGCCTGCCTTACAGCCTCCCTTAGAGCCGACCCTTGCTTCTGCGCCAGGTGCAACAGCAGCTGCAGCAGCTGCACCTGGTGTCTCAGGTGCTCGGGGTGTTTCAGGTGTTTCAGCAGGTGGAGATCTACAGCAGACGTACCAGCAGAAGATGATTCTGCTGCAGCTCCTGCTGGAGCAGCAGGAGCGGCAGAACCAACAGCTTCATGAGCAGTGGCTGCAGCAGCAGCGCCGCCACCACCAGCAGCAGCTGCAGCAGCAGCTGCAGTTTGCTGCGAGTGGCTCTGTGCCTGAGCGCTGCAGCAGCGCACCACCATCACCTGCTTTACAGGCGCCCTCAGAGTTGCCCCTTGCTCCTGCCCCTGGTGCAACAGCAACAGCAGCAGCAGCAGCAGCAGCGGCAGCAGCGGCACCGGGTGTCTCAGGTGTTTCGGCAAGTGGGGCGAGCACCCCTCTCTCCGCCCCAACCCCCGGTTTCCCTCCCCTCCCCCTCCACCCCCCACTCCCCCCCATCCCGCCCTCGCAAAAATCCCCTTCCCCCATCCCCTTCTCCCAAACCCCGCCCTTCACGATGACGCACTCCTTCTCCCTCCCAGCGTCCGTCCCGGCGTCTCTTCCCTCCATGGGCCTCCCAGCAGGCGCGAGGGAGAGAATGGAGGTGCATCTGCTGCTGGTGGAGCTCGCACGGGTGCAGCAGCAGGTGCGGTCTACCCAGGAGGTGGCTGAGAGGGCGGAGCGGGAGTCGAGGGAGGCGAGGGAGCAGGCGAGAAAGGCAGTGGAGAGTGCAGCGGCCGAAGCAGAGAAACGGCTCAAGGCGGAGATGGAGGGAGAGGCTGCTAAAAAGAAGGTTGGTTGGGGAAGGGAAAGGGAGGGAGAGAAACGGGGGAAGGGAAGGATTCAGATGGGAGTGTGGAGTGTGTGTGGGGGGTTAGGGGGTGTGCTTTGTGAGTTGTGCTTGGGGTCTGGTGGCTTTTGGTGGTGCCTGGCCACCTTTCTTCAGTCCTTGAGGAAGGCGAGGGAGCAGGCGAGGAAGGCGGTGGAGAGTGCAGCGGTGGAGGCGGAGAAACGGCTCAAGGCTGAGATGGAGGGAGAGGCGGCTAAAAAGAAGGTTGGTTGGGGAAGGGAGAGGGGTGGGGTTAACGATGTGGGGTTGCTGAGTGTGCATGAGGGCAGGGTGTGTGCATGTTGTGTTTCGTGTGTGGTGGTTGTGTGTTTGTATGCTGCCACGTTCCCTTACTCTGCTTTGCACATTCCCACCCAGCCGCCGTCCCCTTCTCTCATATTCCCAGTGGCTCTGCAGTCGGCCTCTTCTCCCCCTCTTCTCCCGGTCTGAACTACACACTGACACTCCAGACAGAAAAAAAGATATATATATATATATATATATATATATATGTATATATATAAGTTTATAACAAACAGCACAAGAAATCAGCAGCAGACGCACACCACACCACTAACCGTCTCCTCCCATATCTCACACCACACTACCTCACGTCCCACCACCGACTCTCCAGGCTAACAAGGAGCCTCGGTGCGCTGCAGCAGCAGCGCAGGCCGAGGCTGACCGGGTGCTCCGGGAAGCAGTGGACCTCGCTCCACCACCATCCGCCACCCTGGCAAAGGCCCCGAGCAATATGCCCTGAGAAATATGCCCTGAGCAATATGCCCTGAGGAATATGCCCTGAGCAATATGCCCTGAGCAATATGCCCTGAGCAATATGCCCTGAGCAATATGCCCTGAGCAATGAGCTGCGGCAGCAGAAGTTCCGCGAGTACAGCATCGAGGAGCTGGCACTTGCATCAGCATGCTCATGCACTACAATACTCCCCCCTCAACCTCTCCCCCCCCCCCCTCCCCCTCCCTCCTTCCCCTTCCTCCCCCCTCTCCCTCCCCCCGCTCTTATTCCTTTCCTCTCTCTCTCCAGGCGGACGAAGCCTCCCGGCGGGCGGCAGCCGCAGAGGCTGAAGCTGACCGCGTGCGCCGGGAAGCAGCGGACCTGGCAGCCGCGGCATCGGCAACCCTGGCAAAGGCGCAGGAGCAGTACGCTTTGAGCAACCAGCTGAGGCAGCAGGAGTTCCGCGAGTACAGCATCGAGGAGCTGGCGCGCGCGTGCGACATGTGGGACGAGGAGAACCTGGTGGGGGAGGGCGGGTACGGGACGGTGTATAGGGGCGTGCTGGAGCACTACCCCGTGGCGGTCAAGTGCCTCAAGACAGCGAATAGCGACCAGGCGCTGAGGGAGTTCAAGAAAGAGGTGGGGAGAAAAGCGGGGGATGGGGAGGGGGGGAGAGGGGAAGGGGAAGGGGGTCGGGGGGAGGGGAGGGGAAGGGAAGGGGAAAAGGGGGGGAGGGAGGGGGGTTTGGTGGTGTGAAGGATTGGTGGCCAGGGGGTGCAGCGGAGATGACATGTTACGAGAGGGGTGAGATGGGGAGGGATGTGGCCATGTCGCCTTCGCTCATGCCCATGCATTGTGCCTTCCTTCCTAATGCCCTGCCCTAACGTCCCCTTGTCCCTGCGCTTCCCTGCCCTTCCCTCTCTTCCTCCTCCCTGTCCTCCCCTTTCCTATTTCCCTCTCTCCCTATCGCACCTTCTCCTGCTCACCTCCCCCTCCTCCCGCCATGCTCCCCACCTCCCCCCTCTCCCTCCCCCACTCTCCCCTCTCCAGATGGACGTGCTGTGGGGCCTGCGCCACCCCACCATCGTGCTGCTCCTCATCGGCTGCTGCCACGGCCCACTGTGCCTGTTGAACAGCCCAATGCCACACCCACGCTCACCCCCCTCCACCCGTTCCTCCCCCACCCCACCAACGCCCACCAGATGGACGTGCAGCGCGGCCTGCGGCACCCCACTGTGGTCCTCCTCATTGGGTGCTGCCACGACCCCCCCTGCTTGGTGTACGAGCTCATGCCGCACGGCTCGCTGTACGACCGCCTCGTGTGCGACCACGGCTCGCCCCCGCTGCCCTGGAACCGGCGCTTCGACATCTTTGAGGACACCTGCAAGGCGCTCATCCACCTGCACAACCGGTAGGAATTGGGGAGATGGTTCCGGCGGCACTCCATCAGCAGCATTACCCCATCCTGCGACAACTGATTGCATCATGCTGTTCTAGTCAAGTCAACAACTCCCATGGACCCACCCTCCCGCACATTCCAGCCCCATCATCGTCCCTTTCTCCCACCCCCCTCTCCCCTCTCTGCGTCCCATCCAGCCCCCCTGCGGTCGTGCATCTGGACCTACCCAACATGCGCGCCAAGCTGGGCAGCTCTCAAAACCCTCTGCACACCCCTTCCCCCTCGCCCCCCCTCTCCCTATCCACCACCTCCCCTCCCCACCCGCCTCCCCCCTCTGCAGCCACCCCGCCATAGTGCACCTGGACCTGAAACCAGCCAACATTCTTCTGGACGGCAACATGCGTGCGAAGCTGGGCGACGTTGGCTTGGCGCGCTTCATGGTGGGCATGGACAGCGGCAGGAGCTTCATCCAGCAGTCCGTCGCCGTCGGCACCTTTGGCTATGTGGACCCACACTTTCTGCGCACGGGGCAGTTCAGCCGCGAGTCCGACATCTACTCCCTCGGCATGGTGCTGCTCGACATGCTCCGCGGCATCGACACCTCCAAGAAACCTGCAGGGGAAGGAAGGGACGGAGAGGGAGCGGGAGGGGCAGCGCGGCGGCATGTGGGGGACAGAGTAGCGGCATTAGAGGCGCTGGAAGCCTGTGTGGCAGCAGGGGACGTGGAGCGGCTGCAGGGGCTGCTGGACCCTTCAGCGGGCACGTGGCCGCCAGGGATCGCGATGCGGCTGGTGGAAATAGCCCGGCGATGTGCGGCGTTTAAGCGCAAGCAGCGCCCGGAGCTGTCCCGGGACGTCATGGCCATGCTGGCGGAAATGAAGCCCGCTGTGCTGAGGGCCGCCGCGCAGCAGAGGGAGCTGGGCCTGCTGAAGGATGAGGCCTGGGAGGGTGGTGATGGCGGTGCTGCTGGTGGTGTTGGGGGTGGTGGCGGTGTGGGGATTCGTGGGGGCGGGGAGAGCACGAGGACGCGGTCGGGCGTGCAGGTGCAGGTCCCGGATGGGTTCCGATGCCCCATCACCATGGTGAGAGGCCGCGGGGCGGGTGAGAGGGGGCGGGGGGGGTGAGAGGGGATGGGGTGGGTGAGAGGGGGCGGGGTGGGTGAGAGGGGGCGGAGCGGGTGAGAGTGGATGGGGCGGGTGAGAGGGGACGGGGGGCAGGTGAGAGGGGACGAGGAGGGTGAGAGGGTTGAGTTGGGAGAGGGGAGGAGCAGCAACTTGCCATGCAGGCTGAATGTGCTCAACACGTTCTACGGCGGCTGTTCTGTTCGTTATGTCGTGGTTGCGCTGATATTGTATGTCTGCTTTGTACCTGTGCTGCTCCGCTCATGCCAAGGGAACCATTTTCTTGCCAATTATGCCCTACCAGCTACAGAGCCATGTAATTACGCCCTCTTCCCCCCTCCACACACACCACATTCCCCCTACATCCCTCTCTCCATCCCCCCTCCCTTCCCAACCTCCCTCCCCCCTCTCCCCTCATATCACTTCATCCCCTTTAGGAACTGATGCGGTGGCCAGTACTGGCGGCGGACGGGCACACGTACGAGCGCGCGGCCATCCAACAATGGCTGCAGCAGCACTGCGTGTCGCCGCGCACGGGCCACCCCCTGCCGCACTGCCACGTGCAGGACAACCTGCTCGTGCGCTCGCTCATTGCCGAGTGGGTCCACTGCCACGGGGGGCTGCTGCTGAGGTGAGGCGTGGGGAAAACGGGGTGGGAAGTTGGGTTGGGTATGGGGCTTGGGTCTGGAGCTAGGTTGTATGGCTGGGGGATGCTGGTGCTGCTGGGGGCGGTTCTTGGATGTGGTATGGTGGGGGTGTGAGGGGAGGGGCGCCACCTGCAGGAGAACCTGATCGTGTGCTCCCTCGTCGCCGAGTGGGTCGATTGCCACGGCAGACTGCTGCTCCGGTGCGTCATGGGGTGCCCTGTGGGGTTTGGTTGTATCAGTGGGGCTGGCCTGGAGCTGGGGTGTGGGACTGTGGGTTGCTCTTGGAGGGTGGTCGGCTGGGGTGTGAGAGCATGGGCACCACCTGCAGGACAACCTGCTTGTGCGCTCCCTTATCTCCCAGAGTGGGTCAACTGCCACAGGGGGGCTGCTGCTGCGGTGCGTGGGGAAAAGGGGGAGGGAGGCAAGGGGTGAGGAAGGAGGAGGACGAGGCGGGGCTGCTTCAGGGTTTTCATTTGATCAGTGGGACGGATCTGGCTGGAGCTGGGGTGTGGGGAACTGTGGGGCCTGCTCTTGAATGCTAGTAGTGCATGCTAGTAGTACATGTGGACTGGGTGGGATGATGGTGCTTGCTGCACAGCACTAGTTGCCGTCTTGTGCACCAGCTGCCTTGATTCGCCTTCTCCCACCTCTCTTACTGTCTCACCCGATTGCCTTTGAACCACCCTATAAATCACTGTCCCAGGACGGAGGTTCTGGACGAGTGCTCCCCGGACGGATGCTCGGAGGAAGGGCGTGAAGTGGAGGTTTATGTGGAGGGGGAGGGGGAGGGGGATGAGGAAGGGGCGGAAGGCTCACAGAACTGGGCATCCTATGTGGAGGAGCTGGGGGATGAGCTCTTGCAAGGTGGCTATCAGCCTTCAGGCATTCCGACTGAAGTATTTGCCAAGGACAAGGCTCATGTGGTAGGAAGTGATGATGCGGATGGGCTCCCTGCCGACAATGCACCTGCTGAGAAAACTTCCAATATGAAAGGCATGGCTTCAATGTAGGGTAGATTAGGGGTTGTGGGCTTTACGGACCTCGCTCATTTTTGCATAATATCCTAAGGTATGTTGTGACATACTTATGCATACCCGTAGTACTGACTCAAGTGTGCTTATTTACATAAATATGGATTATTTTATTGTATGTATTCTATTTTATTATTATGATTGTATGGTGGTTATCATCTCAAAACAGCTATGATGTTGGAAAGGAGGTTACATACTAATAGCAAAACAGCATCTACCAATTAGACTAGATCTGAGTTGTGCAGAGTGTATGATTTGATACAATGGAGTGTACGATTACAACATGATGCATTTGCATAAGATTCTGCACCATGCTACTGGCAGCCATAAACAGGCATAGCCGACAGAAAAAAACGCAGCAGTGTGGCGACTCTCGCGAATCTGCGAGAAACGTCCGTCATGTCGGCAGCAGCACCAAGGCACGGTCACGCGCGGGTGACGACGGGCGAGGAAGATGAGGAGCTGGACCCCATGGTGGAGCAGCTGCAGGACTGCAGCCGCCTCTACGTCCACCTAGAGGTGCGCTCCCGGAGCGGTTCCTGCCGTGCTTCACGCGCATCCACTGGTGCTCCCGGTCCATTTTCCCGGTGCTTTTTATGCTGTGTTTCAGTTCCATTATGTTCCACTGTTTTTAAGGCGGCTCGAATCAGGGGCAAGGTCGATCCTGACTTGCTCCGGCGACTCAGAAGCAAGGGAGCGATGCAGTTCGCGGCATCATAGACTGTCTCCGTTCCGCGTGGCTTGTTAGGCTGATTGAGAAAGGGGAGGAGAAAGTTATTTCGACGCTATGATGGGAGCGACGAGTGTCCGCTGACGGAGAGACACGTATAGTCTCATGTGTGAAAAGGCTACCCCCTCTTGCCGCTTGACATGTCACGCCTTTTTCAGTCTCCAGTCTCCTGTCCGCCATGCTGCTTCGCCTCTCACACACCTGCCTCAAATCCGCGTGTCGTTCCCAGCACTCTTATAGATGAAGAGTTGACGAGTTAACCTCAGTCCCTGTTGCCTGGACAACGCTCGAGTAATCTCATTCGGTGTCGTACCATATCTCCCTCTGCTGCATCATTTGGCCACTTGGCACATGGCCCTCCGCATGTTCCATCCATGGGCACATGGGGGGCTTGAACTCTCTCTCCCAACGCACCTCGCTTTCTGATGGCCCCTTTCTGTTCTGTTTTTGGAATGAGCGGCATGAATGACTGTGCCTGTGACGCCTGGAATGCTTGCAGAACTGTCTTGTGGAGCACGACAGGGATTGGAGGAAGTGCCAGGAAGGTGAGCCAGTGTGAAGGAATACTAGAGAGCAGTAACTATGATTCAGCTGGCCAGGAATTGCGGTTGTGGAGTCCTAGTTATCTCTCCTCGCTCCGCCCTTCATCACCCCTCTCTCTCAAGCGGTCCTTATATTGATTGAAATGAAGGGCACAAGGTAGGAAGGCATGTGGGGTCATACAGAAACAAGGACAGCCTGCAACCTACGGGAGCTCCCTGAGGGGCTCCAGGATGGCAAGGCAGTCTCCTAGGGAGAGGCTGTCCGCAGGTGAGTCCACAGGGGTGGGGCATTGAGCTTGATGAGATAGTTCGTGCCCTGGCCACGCTGCAAGGCAATGGACCACCGCTCACGGAACTGGTGGAGGAGCCTGGCCTGGCGGCCTGGTAGGGCGCTGGGTCTGCATTGAAAGGCTTCCTGGCGGGCGGCAGTCTCCACCAGGAGCTTCAGAATGCTTTTTGAGGCGACTAAAAAATCGGTCTCCGCCAGGAGCTTCAGGCAGAATGCGGGGAACTCCCAGCAGGGGCAGCCATAGGTCTCCACGGCTTGGGGAAGAATCCCACATAGTCAGGGCGGGTGGAGTAGTGGTATATCTGCTTCTCCGCGACCTCCTGTGCCGCCCATCCCCGTCCCTTCCGGGCAAGCTCATCCCGCATGCTGATGGGATCGGTGACCGGGCCGTCACGGATCCAGATGGCGCCAATCTTGCGGTTGTGGACAGCGAGGTCTTTCTTCTTTCCTTCGATGGGTGAGTACATCGCTGTCTCTTCGTGCACGATAAACCCCGCATCCTGGGCCATGCGTGCACACACGTTGCGGATGGTGTTGTGGGTGTTGGCCCTTCCCGTCCCAAGCCCGCAGCAAAATAGGTGATTGGGTAGCCGCGGGGCTGGGATCTCGATCTTCTTCCAGCAGTCGCAGATTCGGGGAGAGCCCAGGGCGATGGCGAACTGGCTGGGGCTCAGGCGGAGGAAGGGTAGGACAGGGGGGACCGCCAAGAGAAAGTTCCCAGCGCCGTACCCAGTCAGGGAGAGATGGCGCTGGGTGTGACCAGACATGGGATTGGAGTCCATGGCACGGGATGCGGCACGTGGGCCACAAATCGGTTCCCCTGTACTGCAAGGGAGAGGACGTGCAGCAGTGGCTTGCCGAAGGGGTTGAGCCACTCAGGCGCTAGGCGCTCCCTTGCGTCGACTGGAAGCGTGCTCTCACAATGGGAGAGCCAGGCGTGGAGGGGTGTGGCCGTGTGGGGAGCTGGAAGGGCGGCGCCATGTGCTGCAGCGTGGAGGAAATGGGGGGAGGCAGGGTCCGTGGGAAGGGTGGCGAGGAGCTGGCCGGCCTGGGTGAAGCTAGTGAGGAGGCCATGGGGGCTGTCCACGGGTGGTTCGGCCAAACCCACGCCACCGAGGGAAGGTGGCAGCGAGGCGTGCCTTCACCCGCTCATGCTCCACCTCCCCATGGGGAAGGCGGAGGTTGCAGGTGACTAGGAGAGCTAGGAGCAGTCCATGCAGCACTACGAATACTGGCATGCTCTCTCTCTCCCTCTCTCTGTCCCTCTCTCGCTCCCTCTCTCTCTCTCTCTCTCTCTCTCTCTCTCTCTCTCTCTCTCTCTCTCTCTCTCTCTCTCTCTCTCTCTCTCTCTCTCTCTCAAGCGGTCCGTTTATTGCTTGGAAAACGGGGTACAGGCTAGGCAGGCAAGGGGCAACAAGTCAAGGTACGTGCATGTTTAAGGGCTCGAATCTACTCAAGCTCCTCTAGGGGCTCTGCTATGGCAAAGCAGTCCCCAGGTGCCATGTCGGCGTCAGGGGTGCCCACTGGGGTGTGGGGGTGTCTCTCTCTCTCTCTCTCTCTCTCTCTCTCTCTCTCTCTCTCTCTCTCTCTCTCTCTCTCTCTCTCTCTCTCTCTTTCTCTCAAGCGGTCCGTTTATTGCTTGGAAAACGGGGTACAGGCTAGGCAGGCAAGGGGCAACAAGTCAAGGTACGTGCATGTTTAAGGGCTCGAATCTACTCAAGCTCCCCTAGGGGCTCTGCTATGGCAAAGCAGTCCCCAGGTGCCATGTCGGCGTCAGGGGTGCCCACTGGGGTGTGGGGGGCCGGGGAGGCTTCATTAACTTTTCCCAGGTAAGCCAAGGCCTGTGCCCGCTGCAGCGTCACTGACCAGCGCTGGCGAAACTGGTGGAGCAGTTTCGCTGCCTGGTAGGAGCTGGGGTCTGCATTGAAAAGTCTCCTGGCCCCTGTGTCAGCCAGCAGCTTCAAGAAGGTAGGGACCTCGGCGCAGGGGCAGCCGTATGTCTCGACTGCCAGTGGGAAAAATCCGACATAGGATGCCCGTATATCTCTTTCTCTCTCTCTCTCTCTCTCTCTCTCTCTCTCTCTCTCTCTCTCTCTCTCTCTCTCTCTCTCTCTCTCTCTATCTCTCTCTCTCTCTCTCTCTCTCTCTCTCTCTCTTTCTCTCTCTTTCTATCTCTCTCTCTCTCTCTCTCTCTCTCTCTCTCTCTCTCTCTCTCTCTCTCTCTCTTTCTCTCTCTCTCTCTCTCTCTCTCTCTCTCTCTCTCTCTCTCTCTCTTCTCTCTCTCTCTCTCTCTCTCTCTCTTCTTTCTCTCTCTCTCTCTCTCTCTCTCTCTCTCTCTCTCTCTCTCTCTCTCTCTCTCTCTCTCTCTCTCTCTTCTCTCTCTCTCTCTCCTCTCTCTCTCTATCTCTCTCTCTCTCGCTCTCTCTCTCTCTCTCGAATGGTCCTTTGTTGCTGGGGAATCCTGGGTACATGCTAGGCAAGAGGAGCAGGCACAGGTGAATACTACCGGTGGGGAGGTTTAGTACCCGGTCCTACCACCCCCCCTCCCTCCCCTAATGCTCTAGCACGGCGAAGCAGTCCCCGAGGGACATGCCCGCATCGGGTCCCCCCAGGGGGGGCCACTCCAGCGGTGACACTTCGTTTACCTTCCCCAGGTAGGTTAGTGCCTGTCCCCGTTGGAGGGTGACTGACCAGCGCTGGCGAAACTGGTTGAGTAGTTTCGCCGCCTGGTAAGAGCTGGGGTCGGCGTTAAAGAGGCGCCGGGCAGCTGTGTGGGCTAAAAGTTTGAGGAAGACCGGCACTTCCGTGCAAGGGCAGCCGTATGTCTCGACAGCAAGCGGGAAGAAGCCGACGTACTCTGCCCTGTGGCGGTACATGTCGATCTTCTTGTCCGCCTGCTCCCTGGCCATGTAACCGCGTCCCTTGCGGGCGAGGGGGTCCCTGGAGCTGACTGGGTCCGTGACTGTGACGTCGCAGATCCAGACCGCCCCTGAGTCCCGGTCCCGGATGGCTAGGTCGGCTGTCTTGCCGTCGACCGGGTTGTATAGGGCTGTTTCTTTCGAGACAATGAGTTGTGCGTCTTGGCCCATGCGAATGCATTCGTCCCGGAGGGCGTTGTGTGTATCAGTGCGTCCGTGCCCCGTCCCGCAGCGGAATAAGTGGTTGGGGAGCCGTGGGTCCGGGATCTCGGTCTTCTTGGCGCAATTGCACACTTTTGGCGCGGGGAAAGGGAGGCCCAGGCGGAAGGCGAGGGCTATGGCGAAGTGAGGAGGTGCCAGCCTGAGTGATGGGAAGAGGGGGACTGCGAGGAGCCAGTCCCCTGCTCCGTACCCTGTGAGGGAGAGGAGCCGCTGCGTGTGACCGCTGAGGGGGTTTAGCTCCATGTGCCTGGTCGATTCTAGCTGCTCGGCGAACCGGGCAGCGTGGACCTCTAGGGCGAGGCGGTGCTGGAGCGGAGCTTCGGATGGTTCCGAGGGCTCGGCGCGCAGGAGTTCCCGGGCGGTGGCCGGCAGCGCCGCCTCGCACTCAGCTAGCCAGGTGTGAAGGGGGGTGGGGCTGGTGTAGGGTGGTGCGAGGGAGCGGGCCACTGTCCCGAGGGGGGCGGATGGGTCTGGGGCGAGGGAGGCCAGGAGCCGTTGGGCATGGGTGACGCTGGTGAGGAGGGCATGGGGTCCCTCCACTGTGGGGTCCGTCAAGCCGAGCCCTCCGAGGGAGGGGGGGAGCGAGGCCTGTTGCCAAGTGCGTGACATTTCCTGTTCCCCCCGTGGGAGCTGGAGATGGCAGGCCCTCAGGAGGGTGAGGTAGAGTTGCTGCCCCCACTGGGACCACTCCTGTGCTGGGAGTAGGTTCAGCGGCGTCGTGCGGGTCAGGTAGGAGACCCGACGAGAGACGCAGCGGTGGAGGAGGAGGCTGGCGGCCTGGGGGTCCATGGCTGCCAGGGTTGGTAGTGGCTTGGCCATTGCGGTCAGTTGCTCACGCAGGAAGCGGGCTGCTGCATCTGGGGGACCAATATGGCTGCCCAGGATCCGCAACCCGGAGGCGCAGAAGGGGATCCCGGGGGGGAGGGAGTCGGGGGGGGGATGGGCCGCGGACCATGCTGCGCACTTAGCCGGATTGTGGGTCAGGCCGAGAGGAAGAAGCGCGTGGGTGAGGTGGGCGAATGCGGCTGTGCATGCGGCTGGCTCCCCCATCAAGGTGATGTCGTCGGCGTATGCCAGGCAGAGGACGCGGGGAAACGCTTGGGCGGTCTCTCGCAGGGCGGGATGCATGGCGGCGGCAAAGAGCAGAGGTCCCATGGGGTCCCCTTGCCTGACGCCGCGGGCGCTGAGGAGGGGCTGGCTGTCAAAGCCCGCGTCCAAGAAAAGAGTGGAGGGGGCGCCGTAGGAGAGTTGTACGAAGGGGAGGAGGGGGCGGAGCGGGGAGTTGTAGAGCCCTGTGATGATGGCCCGCGGTCGACGCTGTTGAAAGCGTTAGAAAGGTCAAGTTGGAGCAGGAGGGCAGACGGGGATTCCGTGGCGAAAGCTCTCGCGCCATGGATTATCGCCTCGCCGCCGGCCCTTACCGCCACCCCGAACTGCAGCGGGAGGAAGTGGCTTTGGGCGGGCTCGTTCATGGCGGCGAGGCCCGCTTTCGCCACTAGGCGGTGGAGGCATTCGCCCACTGCTATTGGACGGGTGCCCCCCTCTGGCTTTGGGAACGCTAGCAGGCGGCTAGCTGTGAGGAGCCCGGCTACCTCTGGAGTGGTGGATCCTTTTAGGAGGATTTGTGCTACCCCGTGCAGTTTGCTGGCGACTGAGGCGTTCGCGAGGGCTGCGTCGCGAAGGTGTTCGAAGCACATGCCCGACGGTCCCGCGCCAACTCCGTTTTCGCTGCGGCTAAGTAACCGAACGAAATCGGCCAGCGAGATGGAGGGGAGTCGCTCAGACTCGTCGAGGGCAGGCCAGTCAAGGGACTCAGTCAGAGGGGGGGGTGTTTGGAGGTCAGTGCGGCGAGGACCTCCGGCGTTGACTCGCTGACCGGGGTCGAGTCCAGTGCCAGGAGGGCACGCCTGAGGCTGCCACGACGGACGAGGCCCTCGGCGCGGGATATTTTGCCAAGGGTGACTCCTGAGTGTCGTGGTACAGGTGGGTTGTGTATCGCGTCAGCTGCTGCCAGGTACAGCGATTCCCATTCGCCAGCCAGGAACTGCTGCAGCCTCCGCTCTATCGCTGGCCAATCTGGGTGGCGCGGCGAATTGAGGCGAAGGGTGAGTCGGGGTGTGAAGAGTAACAGGCGCCAGCCCGCGAGGCTAGAAGGGTTTTTTGCGATGTGGAGCAGAGGTGTCAGGAGCGCTAGGGCGAAAAGCTGGCGTAGTTTGGGGGGGATTCGACGGGAAAGTGGGGGCTGGCGACTGTCGCAAAGCCGTCCGATGTCCCAATTTGCGATCCCCGTGAAAAGGGGTTCATTATTCGCCAGGTCTTCTGGCGAGAACTGGCGGGGAGGGAGGTTGGGTTGTACCTCGTTGTCCCGATAATTTCGCATACGCGGTGCCCGCTGTTCCCTTTGATTGCGCCCCGCCTGCCTTTGTCTTCGATCAGGTCCTTCGCCCCCGTCATCCTCAGCTGAGTCCTCCGTGCTAGTCTCTTCCCTTGCCTCCTGCCTATAAGTGGCATCCGCACGTTCCTCAGCAGCATTCGTGTTTTCGGCTGCCTCTTCTCTTAAAGCCCTCCCCACAGCCCTGTGGAAGCCATTCAGTGATCCGCCGTTAGCCATCAGGCTAGGCGAGCGTCCGCGCCCCCTGCCGCCGCGTCCTCTCCGCGAGCCGCTGCCCCGTGCAGCTGAGCGTGGAGTAGGCGGGCGTTCGCCCCGCTGCCTCGCCGTGCCGGTTCTGGGGGTCATCGGCGAGTCGAATGGCCTTCCGTGCCGGCCGCGCTCGCAGGGAGCGCTCTGTTGACCGTGAGAGTTCGGGGGAAAACGTCCTCCCCCGAGGTCGGTCGAGCTCCCCCCCTCAGTCGGACCGGCGGTGGGCACGCGGGCTCCCAGCGCCGTCGACGAGCGCGCCAGCGTCCCCTGGTCGGATGCGAGCGGCGACGCCGCCTCGGCTGGAGGGGCGGGCTGTGGTGGCGGGCGCCGAGGTCCGCCAATGTCCACCTGCTGCGTTGTCGCCGTTTGCTGTGTCACGTGCGGCGGGCCCTCGCCCCCCCCCTGTGCTGCCGTCTCGGCCCCTTCCGCAACAGCAGCGTGCGCCAAACGGCCCCTCGGGGCGAGCTGGCACACGTCGGGGGCGAAGGGGGTGCGCTCTGGAGAGGCGGCTGGCGCGGACTGCCGCAACGCTGGAGGGGATACTCGAGCGGGCTGGCGCTGGGCTGCTCCCTTCGCCCCCGCAGCCCCCTCAGCAGCCCCCCTGTCATACGCCGCCTCCATTTCCTCCCCGAGACCGTCCACCGACCCTCCCCGACCAGCCGGCTCATGTTGGGTCGTTTCCCTCTCACCTGCGGCCCGTGCAACCCTGTCCCGCAATGGCGCGTGGAAGTGAGTGGTCGAGCCTGCAAATCCCGCCGCCACCTCCGACGGCTCTGCACCCACCCACGCCGGCGCCTCCGCGACAGCGTGTGCCGCCTGGGGGCTCGTATACTGTCCAGCACCCCGCCGCGCACCCGCTGCCCTCGCACGCGCCGGTCCACTTCCCCCCCGGGTACTACGACTTGCACCATCAGTCCCTGCCAGCGCCCCAGAGAGGCAGCCCCGCGTTATCCGCCGATACTCTCCCGGAGTGGCGACCCCCCTCATCCTGGGCTGGGGCGGCGGAGTGGTCCGATCCCCAGGTGGGGCTCTACCGCGGAGGGGGTGTGGTCGGTCCGTTTGTTCCCCCTCGGCGGCGGGCGCCATCCCCACGGGGTGTAGAGGCGGGGGCAGAAGCAGCGGAGACGGGGGGCGCAGAGTCGCCAGGGGAGGGGTCTCCCCGTCGTTCCCGTGGGGCCGGGGTGGCGACGCGTTGGAGCCCGCTGACGGCGGAACCGCTGACGGCGGCTCCTGCGGGGGTAACGGTCCCAGCCGCCACACTTCGTCGCCTTGGGCATGCTCGGAGGGGGACCGAGATACTGTTGACGATTCTGGCGGCGGCGAGCTCCGCGCTGGGGAGCTCAGGGGGGCGGTCAATGGCCCCGTACTTCCCCCTTCAGGGCTGCATGGAAGCAGCCATAGATCTTGCTGTGGAGGCCGCACGCGCGCGGCCCGGGCCCGCCCGGGGAACAGGCACGGACCCGCACCTTCTCGCCGCTCTCCGCCAGGTGTCGGCGAGCATAGACTCGGCGTCAGCTGCAGGGCTTGTAGCTGGCGCCGTGTCCACGCTGCAGGTCCTGTTGTCGTACCAGGCCGAGTTGCTGGAGGAGGCCGGGCTGGCGGCTGTCGCGGATTAGCAGAGCGGCGGGAGTAGGTGCGGCCGGGCGGTGAGTCCTGCAGTCTGAGTGACCCCGCTCGGCGTATCAGGTGCTCCATGTGTGCTTGTGTAAGCCACAGCGGGGCCCTGTAGGCCGATGTTGTTTACGCCCTTCTGGTCCTAGTCTAGAGTTGGAGGGGCTCCATCATGCATGCCGTGTACTTGCTGCGCTATATTTGAATGCAGGACTTGCCACCCCCTCCCGCGCGGCCGCAGGCCGCGTTGCGAGCGACGGCGGCCGAAGGCCGCCGGCGCGAGCTGCCACCAAGGGAAGGAGAAAAAGGAGAAACCAAACTAAAAACAGAGGAATGAGAGGACTGAGGGCTCTAAATACTAAGGGAGATAGGCTCTCTCTCTCTCGCTCTCTCTCTCTCTCCTCTCTCTCCCGCCACCAAGGGAAGGAGAAAAAGGAGAAACCAAACTAAAAACAGAGGAATGAGAGGACTGAGGGCTCTAAATACTAAGGGAGATAGGCTCTCTCTCTCTCTCTCTCTCTCTCTCGAACGGTCCGTCGTTGATGGGCAATCCTGGGTACAAACTAGGCATGCCGGATTGGTACAAACTGGTGTTTCGGCTCAGGTGAGTCTCCTATCGGGACCCCTTCTACTCTCGTTCGCCCTGGTGCTCTATCACTGCAAAACAGTCTCCAAGGGACATGCAGGCGTCCGGGGCGCCCAAGGGGGGCCACTCAAGGGGAGAGGCCTCGTTCACCTTCCCCAGGTACGAGAGCGCTTGTCCCCGTTGGAGTGTGATGGACCAGCGTTGCCGGAACTGGCTGAGCAGTTTTGCGGCTTGGTAGGAGCTGGGGTCGGCGTTGAAAAGGCGGCGGGCGGCCGTGTGTGCCAGGAGTTTGAGGAAGGTGGGCACCTCGGCGCAGGGGCAGCCGTATGTCTCTACCGCCAGCGGGAAAAAGCCGACGTACTCCGCCCGGCTGCGGTAGTCGTCGATCTTTTTGTCGGCCTGCTCTCTGGCCATGTAGCCGCGGCCTTTACGGGCTAGCGGGTCTCGTGAGCTGACCGGGTCGGTGACGGTGACATCGCAGATCCACACCGCCCCCGAGTCCCGATCCTGGATGGCAAGGTCGGCGGTTTTGCCGTCGACCGGGTTGTAGATCGCCGTC